TGCCCAATATTAACATATATTGTATTTTTTTCATATCACATGCTCTTGTTAAAGTATAAGCAGAATTAGACTTGACCTCTCCCTCAGCACCCTGGGATGCTTACTCTCCCCTCATCTTTGATAATCCTCCATTCATGCAGATCCACTCCATGACTTAATTGAAACTGATTTGGTGAAGACAATGGCAAGATGCCAACAGTTGGTGAAAACGACACACAGGCAGTAAAGGCCTTTATTTGTACACCCTTTCCACCCAACACTGGGCTTTATCAGGTACTCAGTAAAGTCCAGTATTGAGTGAAATGTTTTATAAATAAAGGCCCTCAGTGCATTTATGTCTTTTTCATCTTTCTGAAACTCAATTTTCTGCATCACCTACTAACTTCATTCCACTATCCTTGTGCTCTTCCTTCATGTTTCTATCCTCAGCAGGTTTGCCATGAAACATTGAATGACCAACATAGGTTTAATGTTTTCTGTGAATATTGTACCATAATAATAATAATAAAGCAGAAATAGGCATATCTAGATACATCAGTACTCTGTTCCTATAGTTTTGGAGAGCCACCTTCACTACTAAGAAAATTAGCCTCTTAGGAGTTTCTTCACATTTGTAAAAAACAAGAAAAACTGTAATTTACTACTGAATTTAATTAGTAATAATATACAGTACAATATATAATATACAGTATTCAGTTATGATCATTGGGAAGTGCTAAACCCATATGGGTCATACAGTGCATGGGGAATGAGCAGTAATCACGACTCATGGAATTGTAGAAACCCAATTGCAAACAAACCAAGCCCTACCTGTTCTGTGATTAAGAAGAGCCATCATGTCTGATCCAGTGAAAAGGAGGATAGCTTCAGTCTTGGATCAAGAGCCCTTCATCAGCATGAAGGAGGCCTCTTGAAGGGTTAGTTTTTCCCTTTTGTCTAGAAGCCCTTGTGGCTTAGCGCTTCTTTTTGATTATAATAATAATAATTCCCTTTTGTCCACTCTATAAAAGTTTCTTGCTGATTTTTTCTCTCCCTACTGCTGCTGCTGCTGTTCACTTATTTCCTTATCCAAAAGTTCAGTGTCAGGTAATTGGTTTCTGAATTTTAAGATACATGAAAGGATTACTGTATTGTCTTAATTTTTGTTAAGTCTGTCAGATTTGTTGTCATGGTGTTCTTCAGTTGCCATGGTAGTGTAATACTAATGATACCTAGTCAGTTTTTCTGAAGCAACATTATAAAAATTATTGCTAATGAATAACTTTAAAACTCTGTACATATTTTCTTGTGTAAATTTGTTCTATTTTTTCTTTTTTTCAAGAGTGTGTTTTGATATACTATATTTTATGCATAATTTTTAATTTTTGTAGGCCTATAGCAAAATTAAGTCACATTATTTATCTTGAGTTAAATTTTTCTGTCAGTGCTGGATATTATAGACTACTATAGTTAAGTGAAATGTTTTCATATTGAAGACTCTTGAAATAATACTCCCAGAAACAACATTGATCTTGTAGTTAGTAAGGTACTGTTTCAATAAGATCATAAATAAGTTTGAAATTTTAATATGCAAGTTAACCACAGTGAAGGATGGTAAAATTCCAAGGTTCATGAATCTCCGATCTCAGTTCCTCGAATCAATTTATATAATCACTATTTTTAAAATTGATGAGAGATCAACACACATTTAAATATACATTCATTTAAATCATTACTATTTTAAGATGAGATTATGTTACATATTTTAGTTGGTTGTAAATGTTTGATAAATGTGTGTCAAATGTATTTTGAGCAGAACTATTACATTACTTTTTTGTTTTCGCACGTCTCAATTGACCCTTTCAATTTTATAACTTGAATCACAAAAACTTTGCATTGGATTGTGAGATACCACTCTCATTATTTTATACTAATAAATGAATGCTATATGCAATAACCGCACTTTGAAAAAGGGTACAAAGATGTTCGTCGATTCGCCAATAAGACTGACCTCAATAGCAAATCACTGAGTCATTCCTTGTCATTATAGCAATCATCTCCTACATCTTGTGTTATGTGATTTTCGAAAGGATTCAAGGGCCGAACTCATGTAAGCTTACTTTCTCATAAGCTTTTGGGGCTTGTTGGATAATTAAAGTTAGTATTTTACTTTTTGTTTAATAAATTTGATGATTAGCATAGATTAAAGAATGCAGCCCATGATGGGGAATTTCTTTGTGGATGAGTCATGGCATTACAGTAGCTAGAGGGCCATAATTGGGTGTTTTATCCGAGTGGGATCTGTAACCAATGGTAATTTTCCAAGCGATGTATTTGGTAAATATTGTTTTATATATATATGATCTTATGATGATTACTCATGTTGAGCAAATTTCCCTGCACCAAAATGTAATAAAGTTGCACAGCATGGAGGTAACTTCAGGTAGGAAAGATAACTTTTGGTCATAAAAGTTGCAACAGTTGCTATTTTCAGATGTTGCAGTTTTAATGACTTGAGCTTTTGACACTGACCCGCTATAAATGATCAACTAGCACCAATATTGTAAAGGATTTGGTAAGTGCATTGACGTGTAACTGTCGGGCATGCAAATGGACTAATCACTCACAATATTCCTTATGGGCAAAAATTCTGTCAGTACTGGCACCTGAACATACTTCTGGAATGAAAAAATATCGTTAACTGGGGGTCCACTGTATTTTGAAGACATGCCAAATGCAGATCATTTTGAGAAAACTGCTGATAGGTAACCATCTTCACATCTTGTGATATACTTCTCAAGGAAGGTTCCTTAATTAATGCTGACAGTTCTAAGGAATCAGAATAATTCTCATCCTTGTGAAGCTCTGGCTTCACATGGTGAGGTCCAGGTTTGATTCCCGGCGAGGGTTGAAACATTGAGCGTGTTTCCTTACACCGGCTGTATGTTCACCCATCAGTAAAGTGGGTACCTGGGTGTGGGTCACATCCTGGGACAAAACTGACCTAATTTTCCCGAAATACATTACATAACAAGGGGCTTTGGGAAGTTCTGACGGTTCATGTCTGTTTTCCCACTGCCATGCGCAAAAGCCCAACTGCCTACTGTGCCTTCTCACTCTTTTTCTTAACCACTTCTGATCTCATTCTCATGCCATCACAGTGTACACCGATGGTTCCAAGTCTTCTGATGGCGTTGGATTCACAGCAGTGTTTCTGGACAGTGTCGTGCGAGGGCATTTATTATCCCCGGCTAGCATTTTTACGGCTGAATTGTATGCCATTCTGATAGCACATATCTGTATTGCATCTATGCCTGTGTCGCCATTTATGGTTGTTTCAGACTCCCTTAGTGCTTTACAGACTACGTATATGAAAATTTCTTACACCTCATCCCTGGCTCTGCGTATCCAACTTTGGTTACGCTGTATCTCTAGCAAGCACAAAGATATTGTTTTTTGTTGGTTTCCCGGTCGTGTTGACATACAGGGCACGAACAAGTAGACACTACTGTGTAGTCAGCAGTACATGACCCAGTTTCATATAGAGGTGTTCCATTCACTGACTTTTGCTGTAACTGCTACCCACCTTTGCACCCGTTGGCAACAACATTGGTCTGATCCACTCCATAATAAACTTCATTCTTTTAAACCGAGTATAGGTTTCTGGCCATCTTATCAGTGTCTAGGTTGGGGGACTACTCTCTCCCACCTTCTCATCGGCCACTTACGGGTATCTCATGGAGAGGCGCCTTGTTCCACTCTGAGAATTGTCAGGTTCCAGTTTTCGTTATCTACATTTTGTTCGACTGCCCACTCTAATCAACAAGCAGGCAGAATTTACCTACAACGTCGTCACCGCTCTGCTGCCCTTACTTTATCTTCCCTTCTTGCTGATGGATCCTCCTTTGACCCAGTCTCTCTCATTGACTTTTTGACAACTGATTTACTGCACAAACTGATGATCATGATGATGCCTCTAGTACTCCTCAAAGCCCTTTCTACCTCAATCCCTCTCCCTCTTGCTACCAAATATCCCTGCATCCTTTCCTGCCCGGCAGTGCTGTATAGTCCTTGTGGCTTAGCGCTTCTTTTTTTTTTGATTATAATAATAATCCTGCCCGGCAGTGCTGTATGACCCTTGTAGGTTTAGCGCTTCTTTTTTATTATAACAAGGGGCTTTCTATATAGTAGTGTCACTGATGTCAGCTAGGCCTGTATACCTTGTAGAAAATAAAGATATTAATATTATTATCGGTACATGGCAGAGATGTTTCAGTTGGAAGATAATATGAATATGATGTCATCACACTTCTGAAAAGACAGTGATTGAACGAATGATGGTTAATGTGTTTTCTGCTTTGGGTCAGCCTGACTTGGCAGGAGACAACTAGTGAATTTGAAATATTTTTTATATTTTTTGTACATGTTGCTCAAGGGCAGGGTAGCGCTGTATAGCCCTTGTGGCTTAGCGCTTCTTTTTGATTATAATAATAATGCTCAAGGGCATCATCACTCCTCTGTGGAAGCCCTCTGATGTCAGTGAAGTGCTCTTGATCCAAGCTAATCAGATTGCCTCCCACTCTCCATGTGCTTTAGGTATATTGCTACAGGTTTATTGCTTCCCCCGATAATAACAAGTGTCTCATTACAAGGATTAAAACAGTGGTGATCTTAGGTGGGTTATCCTGGGTAATTTACACTGTATGATAATTGTGCTTAAGTGTACCTGTGCCTAAATAAACTTGCTGAGCGCATCACGAAACTTATTTACAAAAATTTGATCCCTCCCCTCCCCCCCCCCCCCAAAAAAAAAATGGGTACGTAATCTATCAACACCTTCATATCCTCAAAAATAATTCCCTTCAAGAAATTTTCTTCTCGTCTTATTTACTAATAAGGAGCCGCTTTATGCCACATACTGAACTCTGCAGGAAGACAGAAAACAATATAGAAGGAAATGGTTAACATAAATTTACAAATTCGGTTTATTTTTCAGGTAAATCGAAGCAAATAACCAGGAACTGGAGTCTGGGAGGAAAAAAAATCTGTATATTGAAAAGTATATATAATGTGTTGAAGAATTACAACTCGCTGAGTTGTGTCCGAGTGAGTGGGAGGTGTAGCGGTGTGATGATGGTAAGTGACTGCCAGTGATGAGTGGGTGATGATAGTGACTGAATCCCAGTGGTGAGTGTTGATGATGGTGACCAGATGCCAGTGATGAGTGGGGTAAGTGTTGATGATGGTGACCAGATGCCAGTGATGAGTGGGGTAAGTGTTGATGATGGTGACCAGATGCCAGTGATGAGTGGGGTAAGTGTTGATGATGGTGACCAGATGCCAGTGATGAGTGGGGTAAGTGTTGATGATGGTGACCGGATGCCAGTGATGAGTGGGGTAAGTGTTGATGATGGTGACCAGATGCCAGTGATGAGTGGGGTAAGTGTTGATGATGGAATGTGACTGTTAGTGATGAGTCGGGTGAGTGGTCTTCAGAGTGGCTAGTGATTGTCACGGTTATGACTGATACCGCTGTATAGTCCTTGTGGCTTAGCGCTTCTTTTTTTATTATAATAATAATAATATGACTGATACCATTACTGATCCACTAGTGGGAGTAGTTTTTCTTTTGTCCTGTCATAATTACATTATAATTATTATAATCATGGGGGAGCGCTAAACCCGTAGGATTATACAGCGCCTGGGGGGGATGGAAGGCATTCAGGCTCAGTTCAGGGAACTGGAGCACAGATCCAGTTCCCTAGATCAAGAGCCCTTCACCAGCGTCAAGGAACCTCCCTTGAGTGATGTTATAATTACAGTAATAATAATTTTATGCACTCCGTATTGTTTGTCAAAGGCTTCCTTGTAAACCATTTCCATAAATCGTTGTTTTTCTTCCTAATTTTTTATTTAATTTTCTGTATTACACCCCCCTCAAAGGAGGTTTCTTGACGCTGGTGAGGGGCTCTTGATCTAGGGAATTGGATCTGAGCTCCAGTTCCCTGACTTGAGTCTAAATACCTTCCATCCCCCCCCACATGCGCTGTATAATCCTACAGGTTTAGTGCTCCCCCGTGATTATAATAAATTATTATTCAAAATCTATTTTGCTGCCTTTGTTGCAGAACTATTGCAGTGGTTATGCAACTCATGAATGACTGCATGGAATCTGAAAGATTTTTACGTACCCAACAAAATAGGAACCGGAGAACTCAGCCTTGGCCTCATATTCTCAACAGCTGAAATGAAACCAAAACGAGAACACAATCTGATGACGAGATATTATTTACATCAAGATAGTGGTTTACAGGAAGCCTTTAAACAAGGAGTCACAGCAACAGCCGTCAAAGAACTTTTGGGGGTCTAGTTCCTAGGCCTTTTGTGTATTTATATACTCTTGCGCTACCATCCACAGGATGGATATGGGGTGCACAATAAACTAGCCACTTCGCTGGCAAATTCTTAAAAAGAATTGTCGGAATCTTCATTACCGTCATTGCATCAACGCTCTTGAATACTTACTCAGAGATGAGGACATTCTGAAGGGTATTTTGGCATATAAAGACTACCAAAAAGACTACAATTTCAAAATGCTAATGGTTTAGCGCTTCTTTTGATTATAATAATAAAAATGAAAATGCTAAATATGCCGAACGACTGCAGCTCACGTGAACCTATATCTCAAAACACACTGCCCCAGGGCCAGACTCATGGAACTCCGTGTTCATCAAGAACTGCAAGAAGCCCCTATCACGAGCCTTTTCCAGCCTATGGAGAGGAAGCATGGACACGGGGGTCGTCCCACAGTTACTAAAAACAACAGACATAGCCCCACTCCACAAAGGGGGCAGTAAAGCAACAGCAAAGAACTACAGACCGATAGCACTAACATCCCATATCATAAAAATCTTTGAAAGGATCCTAAGAAGCAAGATCACCACCCATCTAGAAACCCATCAGTTACACAACCCAGGGCAACATGGGTTTAGAACAGGTCGCTCCTGTCTGTCTCAACTATTGGATCACTACGACAAGGTCCTAAATGCACTAGAAGATAAAAAGAATGCAGATGTAATATATACAGACTTTGCAAAAGCCTTCGACAAGTGTGACCATGGCGTAATAGCGCACAAAATGCGTGCTAAAGGAATAACAGGAAAAGTCGGTCGATGGATCTATAATTTCCTCACTAACAGAACACAGAGAGTAGTCGTCAACAGAGTAAAGTCCGATGCAGCTACGGTGAAAAGCTCTGTTCCACAAGGCACAGTACTCGCTCCCATCTTGTTCCTCATCCTCATATCCGACATAGACAAGGAGTCAGCCACAGCACCGTGTCTTCCTTTGCAGATGACACCCGAATTTGCATGACAGTGTCTTCCATTGCAGACACTGCAAGGCTCCAGGCGGACATCAACCGAATCTTTCAGTGGGCTGCAGAAAACAATATGAAGTTCAACGATGAGAAATTTCAATTACTCAGATATGGTAAACACGAGGAAATTAAATCTTCATCAGAGTACAAAACAAATTCTGGCCACAAAATAGAGCGAAACACCAACGTCAAAGACCTGGGAGTGATCATGTCGGAGGATCTCACCTTCAAGGACCATAACATTGTATCAATCGCATCTGCTAGAAAAATGACAGGATGGATAATGAAAACCTTCAAAACTAGGGAGGCCAAGCCCATGATGACACTCTTCAGGTCACTTGTTCTATCTAGGCTGGAATATTGCTGCACACTAACAGCACCTTTCAAGGCAGGTGAAATTGCTCACCTAGAAAATGTACAGAGAACCTTCACGGCGCGCATAACGGAGATAAAACACCTCAATTACTGGGAGCGCTTTAGGTTCCTAAAACTGTATTCCCTGGAACGCAGGCGGGAGAGATACATGATTATATACACCTGGAAAATCCTAGAGGGACTAGTACCGAACTTGCACACGAAAATCACTCACTACGAAAGCAAAAGACATGGCAGACGATGCAACATACCCCCAATGCAAAGCAGGGGTGTCACTAGCACGTTAAGAGACCATACAATAAGTGTCAGGGGCCCGAGACTGTTCAACTGCCTCCCAGCATACATAAGAGGGATTACCAACAGACCCCTGGCAGTCTTCAAGCTGGCACTGGACAAGCACCTAAAGTCGGTTCCTGACCAGCCGGGCTGTGGCTCGTACGTTGGTTTACGTGCAGCCAGCAGTAACAGCCTGGTTGATCAGGCTCTGATCCACCAGGAGGCCTGGTCACAGACCGGGCCGCGGGGGCGTTGACCCCCGGAACTCTCTCCAGGTAAACTCCAGGTAAACAGAGTTAACGATCCGAATGCCGGGTCACCATCTGGAGAAGACCCGAGCCGGGACTCACCGGCAAACCTATAAAAACGATCCGTATCAGGTAAGTAAGTTTATTCAGGTATGCAGTTACATAGATTATCATACATAGCAGCATATGTGTAGAGAACCTGGGATAACCCAAAAAAGTCAGAGTGACTTATTTCCATGTGGGGCTTGTATCCAGTACAAGCGAGTCCTAAAATTTACAGGCCACCCTTTCCGTGACTTATTTGCAGTCGTGTTATTGCGATTTCGTGAGTTACGATAGCGTAAATGATCTCGCCAAAAATTGTCTCTTCTAGTCCAGAATCCCAAGCAAACAGAGAGATGAGACTTTCTTACCTCACTCCCAGTAGTCTCAGAGCAACAAGGAAGTATGGTCCACTCGAGACATTAAACCTATGTGTTTACTCAGGCCTATCACCTTAGGCACTGGAAATGATCCTCGTAAATAAACTGGAACATGTGCCGAACACTTGTCCAAACTGGGTACCATCAGTAATTGTCATTTAAATCATTCAGAGATTACTAATGTGATCAGATAAGATAAGATAAGATTTCGTTCGGATTTTTAACCCCGGAGGGTTAGCCACCCAGGATAACCCAAGAAAGTCAGTGCGTCATCGAGGACTGTCTAACTTATTTCCATTGGGGTCCTTAATCTTGTCCCCCAGGATGCGACCCACACCAGTCGACTAACACCCAGGTACCTATTTGCTGCTAGGTGAACAGGACAACAGGTGTAAGGAAACGTGTCGAAATGTTTCCACCCGCCGGGAATCGAACCCGGGCCCTCCGTGCGTGAAGCGGGAGCTTTAGCCACCAGGCCACCGGGCCACTAATGTTCCCACAGCACAGGCTATCTTGGATTTCTCAAGTATATAGTGAGTATATAGGAACGTGAGAATATATGTGACCAGTCTGATGGACTGATCATATCGACTCCAGGCTGAGGGACCGATTACCTCATACTCCTGATCTCCAACTATTCTTCTATATACTGGACTGAGGAAGCCACTAGTTGGCGAAACGTTTCCACAATAAATATACCCAAATATTGCACAAGTGTCCAATTCATCATCCTGTCGATTCTCTCAACCATTCATCTACATTACTGTCTTTTAATAATTGTGGTTGTGAAGAAGCTTGATCTCCCGCGAAATGTTAACTTATTAATGAAGTATGAGTTCTGTTTTTGTGTGTTTTGCAGCGTGACAATATTATACATATACATTCAACGTCCTACTCAGTTGAATGATATGCATAGGATATTCAATTTTATTGTGTACTAAGCTCACTGGTATGCATCCTATACCATACATTACGAACAGGAATATACAGCGTATTTGTACATCGAGGGAGTGTGTATCTATCAGCGTATATACTCTTGAATTAAGTTAGATCCTCATTATAAGGATTAAGCTTCTTTTGTGCTGGTGTATTCTCCCCCAACTAAATGGGGGTTCGAGCCTCCAGCCATCCCTGCGCTGACTGACTCACACGGATTTAGCGCTTCACAAAAATGTAGGTTATTATTTATGTTACAACACAAATGACTTGCAACTTTTGTTAGTCACGTGCAGCCAATAGGCTTTAAACTAAATTAGCTAACAAATAACCTCACATAGGACAGTGAAACTTGTATGTGACAAGTTACTAGTTAATGGTCCAAATCTGATCGATACGTTGTTTGATTCTCCTACATGCTGGTTATTTGTGTATTGTTCCAGTCACGGTATTGTGCCCTTTTATCCAATCAAAGTTAGCTAACATAATGCATTGGAGTATTTTGTGTATGATTTTTTTGTTTACAGATGCGAGGACTGACGTTGGTGATGGTGTTGGTGGTGTGCCTGCTGGAGGTGTCTGAGGGCGTGCAGCTGGAGGACCTGGCTCTCCCTCAGGAGGCTGCGGATGAAAATGAAGTCAAACTCCCTCCAGAACTAAGCAAGCAAAGTGAGCGCTTCTTCGGGGTAGCATCGACTAGGACTTACACTAATGTGGTGATGGTCACTTCCACACTGTTTTTCTCCTGCCTCTCAGGTACCAAGGCAACAACTGTTTGTAAAGGACGACGCAAGAAGAGTGTTGAAAGAGTCCTGGAGGTGCTCCCTGAGGAGGAAAAGTAAGTATCGAGGGGTAACTCTAGCAAATAACAAAGACAAGGAGGGAGAGAGAGAGAGAGAGAGAGAGTAGCAATAGGAAAACAAGCTTCCAAGTAATGTCATAGAAACGGATTTTTGGATAGCTTGAAAAATGATTTCGACTAATACACAGGAATAAATGGGAAGGTGTGAGTAGGGCCTGCCTTGTCGAAACAAACATGGTCTGATAAATAATCTTGAGGTTTTTACATCATTGGTATATAATACTGACAGGATGATGAATTAGACGCCTGAGGGACTGATTACCTCATCCTCTACCTTCTCAGTCTTCTGTGTTATACTGATAAAGCCACTGTTTGCGAAACATCTACAGAATAAAGATACTCAGGTGTTGCACAAGTGTCCAAGTCATAATCTTGAGGTTAATGAAGAGCTTGGAGAAAATGATCACAAATCACTTGAGAAGTGTAGACTGGGTTAGCCTAGGGACTATCGTGAAGATATCGGTAAGATGGTGGTCATGGTTACTAATATAATATTTTCCAGAGCACAGGAACAAGCTGGCCAAGCTGCACATATTCCTAATTGAGAATTTAGATCTCGCACGAATGACCCTAAATGGATTAACAATATACTTGAATATATTGGGTGAAAAGAAATACATTTATAGGCAAATCTCAAGAGATGAGGATCACCTCATTGAACAATATATTCAGTTTAAGAGGGAATTCAAAAAAGAAATAAGGTATACCATTACCATTCGTGTATTTATCTATTTCTAAAGCTACAAAACATATTCGTGTTACTGATAGTGTTTGACAATTAGTTCCACTCATCCAATTTATTCTATTCATCCACAATTCTATTGCCAAATTAATTATTTTATATATTCACGCTTCAGCATCCTTGGAAGATAGATGGCCCCTCAAGGGAGCCTCTTCGATGCTGGCGAGGGGCTCTTGATCTAGGGAATTGGATTTGTGCTCAGGTTCTCTGAATTGAGCCTGAATATCTTCCATCCCCCCACATGCGCTGTATAATCCTACGGGTTTAGCGCTCCCAATGATTATAATAATAATGGAAGATAGATTAGGCGTGATGGCCCTATCAGATGGTCTTATCACTCACTATGCTCCCTGATATCACACCTTTAGACGAGTTCATGTTCCAATTTGTAAAAAACTAAGTTTTCCAAGCACCGTGTTAGACTAAATGATAATATTGGACAAGTCACGCCGGATTATGCAAGTCAGTTCGGAATGAACTGGAATATTGATCAGGTTTTCTACGGAACCCAAACACTCAACTTGGGTTACATAGACAACCGTGAAGCTGTATGGAAACTATTAGTTCAATTATCATTGGCAAAGCAACTTCTTTTCCATGTTTATGAAAATTATGCAAGAAAAATGAAATCAGAAAAGGATTTTGTGGGGAAATTCATGTCAAATCAGTATCTAAACTAAATATATAGTTACGAGTTCTGTTTTGGATATATTATTACGTAACTTGTTCTGTCTTGGATATATTATTACGTGACGCATTAAAAAGAAGCAATTGTTGACATCCTTTTTTTGTTTTGTGACCGTAGACGTGATCTGGAGAGTAGCATCGACGGGGCGACTGAAACACCAGACGAGGACAAGTCAACAAAGTCTCAAGACGATACATCAGCGTCTACCAACCAGAAGTTCTTCACCATCTGGACGACAACTCAAACCACCACCTCCGTCACTATGTTCTACACCAACACCAGCACTACCATCCGCCTCTCCTACTACTGCAACGCTGGACAAGAAATATTTCCCACCTTCAAGTGTGGTGGCGGAAAGTAACGCCACAACTTGGCCACTTTTTCCCCCGGAAGGGCCTATAAAATCCTGTACTAACACAAAGAGTCCTCGACCTAAACTGACCAGAAAGTGCTCTTAATTTTAAGTTTTAGAAATAATGTAGATAGTGTACATGGGAAAAAGAGTCCAAACATTATATACACATATTCACCTGAAAAAAATGTCTATCTCATTTGTCCTTATCGTCTATAATAATCTCAACAGCTCGCTGCTACAGTATAATATGCATTTTTATGCAGCGTTCCTCTGATTTCAATATATAATTTGCTGGTACTAAAGACTCGCAGCTCAAGCTTCCGTTAATCAAGCTCTATCCAGAGTAAAACGTGGTTTCATCCAAAAGCTTCTTCTGTATATCATGATGTTACTGACAAATATGCCAATACGACACAATGTGCTGTTTATGGCATTTTACTGAGATGATGTTTCGCCCACCAGGTAAGTGAACTATTCCAGCGCCCCCTTTCCCCCCAGATCAGAATGCCCCAGCACACCCAGCGTTCATCATACCATCTAGGCTTGTGTAAAACCACTAGATGGTTCTGGTTACAGCGCTTACAGGTGGCCAAGATGGCTACAGGTATGTGGCTGGTCTTGTGTGTACCGAATAAATTCATACGAATTCGGAGTGCACAGTGCCTGGCAGTTAAATCGGTGCTACAGTATGAAAGAGTGAACCTCTCTCCTGACTAACCAGATTCTTTTTCTGTAGCACTGAAGTTATCCTGCTTGTAATGTGACAGCCTATTCACAGCCTATGAATATGTGTGCGTTGTAGTCAGGATCCTGTTGGTAAGCAGTGGTTAGTATTGTGCTCTTGTCTTATACTATACTTCTGATTTTCATGTAGCAATTGAATTTCGTTTGTTGTACAGTTTTTGAACCAGTCGTTTTGACTTTTCTAGTCTCATTGGTATGATGGAAGCTACCTGCTCATCCTTTGTGGCTAAGTCAACCCTTTCATCTACAGGCTCTTTCCTTTGTATACCAGCTTGGTTTTGCATCTTGACCGAGTGGTTCACCTTTCCCGTGCAGCTAGGGGAGCCCTATAAGCTACTCAAGATAGAGATAATAAGCTTTACATTGTCCTGTGATAGAGTGCGGCAGAATAATTTGATTTGCAAAACGTTTTTCACGAAGTGTAAGCCAGGGAAGGTTATTCAGCGCAAGGAGCGATAGAATCCCGATTCTCCTTTCAGGCAGTTGATGATCTTCAAGGGGTAACCAGAGACCCGCAAGTGCTCTTTCTTGTCCGGGTGAAGAGGAACAGACTGGACGTCAGACTGCAGCATAACGTACTCACACCAGCCCCACGTCAGGCAAAACCAACCACAAAAGATACACAGGAAGGCTGGAGCCTCTATAAATAACACAATTTCCCGAGGAAAATCCACTCACATCACCGAAAATAGTTGAGCATTGCAAGTGGGTGTGTGTATATATATATATATATACATACATGCTCGACTTGTCAGTAGAGTTACTAGTAATTACTGTAGCAGCAAGAGTAAGTGTGTCTTTCCTTTGGCGAATGAGGGAATGAGTGGTGAACGAGGAAGTGGTGAGTGAGGAAGTGGTGAGTGAGGAAGCGGTGAGTGGGAGTTTAGAGTAAGGTAGTGAATGAGGAATAGTGAGTCAAGGAAATACGATCGATGAATGAAGGCTACAGTAGTTTTTTTTATATTTTATTTAAAGCAATGCAAATACAAGGTGGTATAAATACACAGAACAGATTAATACACAAGTAGTGAGTGATAGTTAAAGAGACCATGATTACGATACTTAAGTGATTATAAAACACACACACATACACACAAAGGATCTTGGGGTATAGTACCGAGCAGATCTGAAGCACACCTCAACGAAATAACTGTTGCAGCATATGGGCGCCTGGCAAACCTAAGAATAGCGTTTCGACACCTCAGCAAGGAATCGTTCAAGATTCTGTACACCGTGTACGACAGGCCCATATTGGCGTATACAGCACCAGTGTGGAACCAACATCTGGTCAAGAACGTCAAGAAATTAGAGAAATTGCAAAGATTTGCAACAAGACTAGTTCCGGAAACAACAAAAAAAGGCACAATACCGTGACTGGAACGATACACAAATAACCCGCACATAAAAGAGAGAAGCTTACGACGACGTTTCGGTCCTACTAGTTCCGGAGCTAGGGGGTATGTTCTACGAGGAGAGGTTATGGAAAATCAACCTGAGGGCACTGGAAGACATGAGAGATATGGGGGACATGATAATGACATACAAAATACTGAGAAGAATTGACAAAGTGGACAGGGACGGAATGTTTCAGAGATGGGACAGAACAACAAGGGGTCACAACTGGAAGTTGAAGACTCAGATGAGTCACAGGAATTTTAGGAAGTTTTTCTTCATCTATAGAGTTGCCAGAAAGTGGAATAGTCTGGAAAGCGATGTAGTGGAGGAATGATCCATACATAGCTTTAAGAAGAGATACTATTAGCTCATGGAGAAGGGAGAGAGTGGACCTAGTAGCAACCAGTGAAATGGGGAGGCCAGGAGCTGTGAATCGACACCTGCAGCCACAAAGAGGTAAGAACAATCCCACACACACACACACAACATGGAGAATCAGGACAATATTTCTGTTGTGAAAGACGTGTTGCAATGACTGTAAACTAAGAAATAATATATGCTAAGCTTAACACTGAAGAAGCTCATAATATATTAACATTCATGTTTCACAACATTACAGATGAGAAGTGCGGTGCTAGTGGTCGTAGGTGTGCTGTGTCTGACAGCGGCGGCTGCTGAAGGCGTGCAGCAACAGGATGAGCAATCCAAGACTGCTGCCGCTGCTGAAGGAGTGCAGCAGCAGCAGGAGCAACAGTTAAAACCTGCAGAGGCTGCTGAAGGTGTGCAGCAACAGCTTGCTGTGGCAGCAAGCAGTACATACACTAAACCTCCAGATGGGATCAGTGATCAGGAACGATTTATCTTCGGGAGGTACTCGACGACCACCTACACTGACGTAGTGATGGTCACTTCCACAGTGTTCTTCTCCTGCCTGTCAGGCTCCAGCACAGTTTTGTGTAGGGGGCGGCGCAGGAAGAGGAGCTCCAGTGGCCTTTCGACAGTGAATGACGAAAATATTAAAAACAGCAATTTAGGAGAGTGAGTACTGCAAAAAGTCATTTCTAAAAACGCCAGATGGGAGTAGATAGAATTTTCTTCATGGGGAAGCGTTAAACCGCTAGGCAGTATAGAGGATTAATGTTATCAAATTCATGGGGGAAATGCGAGGCAGCCAGACTCGATCCAAGGAAGGGAAGGTCAGCTTTATTTCCATGGACCAAGAGCCCTTCACCGGCATAAAGGCACCGCCCTAGAAGGGTGCTGAAAGACGACTGGGACAAACATAATGAGCCCCCAAAAATTATTTAACATTCTAGCAGGAACAGATCAAAAGCAGTCAGTCGTTCTTCTGTGACAAGACTGAACCCGCGCATTAGTAGGAAACTGAATGTCTAAATAATATAGTTAATATATTTATTTATTTAATTTCATAATTATATTATTATTATTATTTATTATTATATTAAGTGTCAGGGGCCCAAGACTGTTCAACTGCCTCCCAGCATACATAAGGGGGATTACCAATAAACCCCTGTCTGTCTTCAAGAAGGCGCTGGACAGGCACCTAAACTTAGTACCTGACCAGCCGGGCTGTGGTTCGTATGTTGGCTTGCGTGTGGCCAGCAGTAACAGCCTGGTTGGTCAGGCCCTGATCCACCAGGAGGCCTGGTCACAGACCGGGCAGCGAGGGCGTTGATCCCCGAAACCCTCTCCAAGTATAATAGCATTATTATTATTATTATTATTATTATTTCTTATTACTAAATTTTAAATATTCATAGGAAAGTATTAATCCCACAGTAGACATGCAGCGCCTAAGAAATTGGAGGTAAACAACTTGATCCAAGAATGGATAGGGTAGTTCCAGCATTAGGAATGCTCCATTAATATGCAAGTACTTGTTAAAACAAACTTTAAACTGTCATCTCACCCTACAGCATCCTGGAGAGTAGCCAAGATGACTCTACCCCGGCCAGCACAACGACCGACTCGATCCCACAGGATAAGGAGACTCCAGAGAGCGACAAGTTCTTCATTAATGTGTGGACGACTACCCATTCCACCACTACTGTCACGATGCTCTACACGAACACCAGCACCACCATCCGCCTCTCTTACTTCTGCCAGGCTGGACAACTGCAGCTTCCCACCTTCAGATGTGTTGGGTAATGGCGACGGTCTTGATGAGGAACTGGCAAGAGCAAGGTTGTGGTTGAGTGTTTTAATCCAGCGGCCATTGACTTGTCGATTTCAAACTTTCTAGATAATGTACACGAGGAACTGAGTCCAAACAAATAAAATTTAAGGAGCTATGCATGTTTTGTTTTAATTATATCCACATCATACATTACAGAATTTTTCCCTGAAGCGTTACATTTACAAGTTCTTCTGAACACTCTTGAAGGTGCAACGCACCGTAGTGATGTCGTGTTAGATTATTTACAGCAAACTATATCATCACGTTGATGAATAAAACACAAGTGGAACCCTTGGGCATCTTTACTGCCCCCTCCAACCATCGTTTATGGCTTCCTCCAACCATCATTTATGGCCCCTCCAACCATTGTTTATGGCACCCTCCAACCATCGTTTATGGCCCCCTCCAACCATCATTTATGGCCCCTCCAACCATCGTTTATGGCACCCTCCAACCATCATTTATGGCCCCTCCAACCATCGTTTATGGCACCCTCCAACCATCGTTTATGGCCCCCTCCAACCATCATTTATGGCCCCTCCAACCATTGTTTATGGCACCCTCCAACCATCATTTATGGCCCCTCCAACCATTGTTTATGGCACCCTCCAACCATCATTTATGGCCCCTCCAACCATTGTTTATGGCCCCCTCCAACCATCATTTATGGCCCCTCCAACCATTGTTTATGGCACCCTCCAACCATCGTTTATGCCCCCTCCAACCATCGTTTATGGCCCCCTCCAACCATAGTTTATGGCCCCCTCCAACCATCATTTATGGCCCCTTCCAAGTGTATTTTGTGATCCCCTCCAAACATTGTGTTATTTACGCTCCTCTCTCCTCCACCTGAGGCTGCAAGCTGCTACGATCTTAGTACAAACATGTATCACATTTTCTTCAAATATTATCTTTTATCGTTAAAACTATTGCGTCGGGTTTTAGAATTCTCAGATGACTGTAATGCTGGTGAAGGGCTCTTGATTCAGGGAATTAGAGGTATCCACCCCTTTTTTCACAACAAACGCAAATACAAAAACAGATAGATGCATGGAATCAGTTTGATACAGTCTCCATGTATTAAAACCCATTGTGTTTAATACAATAAGTTTTACTCTAATCAGATCACAGAACTGGTGGATTTGAACTCATGGCAAGGTAGTCCTGAAATTCATGATGGCGGCTTTAAAGGAACTTGAGCTAGAGCTCGCCACAGCCACACTGGTGTGGGATTCGCCCGTAAAAAAAAACTGCATTTGTGGTTACAGTGGTGGCCCATGCTAACCTCCCTATGATGCTTAGTGATATATCGAGTTGGATGGTTCCTATTAGAGTCAGCTGGTCTAGTGGTTAGTTTATTTAGATTTAGGTACACATAAATACAGTTACATTAATTATAATACGTACTTAGTAACATATGTGTAGATTATATAGGATAACCCCCCCCCCCTCCCGAAAAAAATAATAACAGTCAAAGTGGCTTGTTTCACTCCACCAGGTCTGCTATGTGTTTCATGTTGCGTTATTGTAGTTTTTTGAGTCAGGTTTAATTGTGTTTTCATGGGGGACAAATGACTTGGAAAACTTTCAGTCCCCATGACTGGTTGGTTTAATCGTCAAGGAAAACTCTGCAACCAGATGCTACTGTAACGTGTGTTAACTAATTGTTAGTCGCACAGTTCTCAACTCTCTGTAGCTCAGATGACACACTACACCAACTGCTCCACCTGCGCCACCTGCGCCACCCGCGCCCTTCCAGGTTCCTTCAAAACCTTCCATAGTGATCATCGCTCGGGAGTAATACCAACTCTGGTGCTGTGTTTTATAATTTATATGTCAAGGGTATTACATCGAGAGGTAAGTATGTATATCTCAGCGCACACTGTAGGATGTGTATCTCAGCGTTTACGGTTTAAAATGGTGTGTTCTGGTATACTATTTTAGCATCTGCAAACAACTGCCGTGAGTCAAACGTCAGTCTATTGTTGTTCCCTGATGTAAACACGACAGTAACTTCCCACGAAGCAGAGTTTTTATTTTAGTTTAATATGTTTATTATGCAATGCATATCCATGGTTTGGGCGGTAGTCAAAAGATTACAGAGGTACATAATGGGTCCAGGGACTGGACCCCAAAATTTTGATAGATGAACAAGTTTTAATGGTAATGAGCTGTCTGCTTGTTTATACCCAAGAGTAACGACAAATTCTAAACATTTCACTAGGACTTTCCGAGCCGAGTCCAGCCTGAATGTACATAAATAACCTGCACATGGGAGAGAGGAGCTTACCACGACGTTTCGGTCCGACTTGGACCATTTACAAAGTGAAAGTTAAGACACATGTGCAACATCTGGATATCTTTATTGTAGTAGACGTTTCGCCATCCAGTGGCTTTATAGTTCTACTGTCTTCCTATTATGTCCTAGAATCTGTATTGATAAAGCCACTGGATGGCGAAACGTCTACTACAATAAAGATATCCAGATGTTGCACATGTGTCTTAACTTTCATATTGTCGGTATTTTATACCTTTCTTGCACAACTTGTCAGACACTGCAACATCATGGAATCTTGGTTCAGAGGACATCTACAAGACCTTCTTCACGGCTGCTGCAACTAACCCATCTCTTTGGGAAGGACCTACTTCCACTGGGGAATCCCGCCTACCAGTGACTGCCCTCGTCTGCTGCCCGTCCCATTCACTGACGCCTATAAAAAGCGCCAGTCTTCTTGCCTTTGCTCCAGACTCTCCTCCACCACGATGGTGTGAACACTAACTCCAAGGCCGAGGGACTGATTACCTCATCTTTTGTATATAGTTCTACTGTCTTCCTATTATGTCCTAGAATCTGTATAGATAAAGCCACTGGATGGCGAAACGTCTACTACAATAAAGATATCCAGATGTTGCACATGTGTCTTAACTTTCATATTGTCGGTATTTTATACCTTTCTTGCACATTTACAAAGTGTTATCTGTGTATTGTCCCAGGAACGGTATTGTGCCTCCTTGTTCTCTTTTTGAATGTGATCGTCATGTTTTCTCCGGTCCTGGGACACCTTGAAGGTGCTGATCTACACCTCCTGGATCTCTGGGAAAAGGTTGATGTCCAGTTCCTGGGACTTTTGAAGGAAGAAGAGGACGTGTACAGTTCCGTGAATCAAAAACCCCTACCCCCCCCCCCCCCCACCCATCCTCACTGACGTCCAGGGCCATCCCTCGTGGTGCTGCAACAGCCTTGTGCACTGATGTAAAGTAGGTTGGGATTATGGTATACCAGGGATACCTTTCCATGATCGCTCGAAATGAAAATGAAAAAAAATAATTCATGTTAAGCGCTAAACCCATACTGGTCAGTCAGCGCGAGACGTAGCGGAGGCTTGATCCACCGTCTGCTGCTCGCCGGACAAACGCGCTTTCTATCTGTACAAATAGGAAACGCGTAAGTCTGGCGCTTTTAAAAACAAAATGATTATAACTATGACCATATTTTTTAAAGGGGTGGAGAAGTAAGCCAGCGGAAGGCCTCGGTCACATGACCAAAAGCACCAGCTGTGGATCATTATATAACTAAGACCCGCGTCAAGAAAAACATGACCTGTTTCGTGACAAACCTTACCTAACCTAACCTATCTGGCGCTCAGCAGATAACTGAAGCTGTTCTCCTCTGGTATTAAACCTGATCATATACAATTCCTCAGGCGCTGACATCGTAGGTGTCAGCGGCTGGGAAATTGTGTATGATCAGTGATGGAAATGCGTGTTTGATACTGTCTGTCTAGTAAGCATTAACCCACCACACTGTTCCTTCGCTCTTGTGTTCTTCCTAGTGAGAATCGCTGCTATATTATAGAAACCGGGAACTCATTGTGGTTGTTCTCCTGTGGAAGACGATGTGCTACAGTGTAGCATTTTTTAAATTTATAATTAATAACTTGTAAAAGCTTTCTTCTCCGAGAATTTTCCATGATGGGTGTGGGTGGGGTGTGAGTTGGACCTGACTAGCTAGTGCTACTAGGTCTGATGCCTTGCTCTTTCCTTAAGTGGGAGTGATCTGACTAGGTGGGTCATTCGGCTAATCCGGAGGTGGGGGCATGGACCTGCATCGCATAGGTCAGTAGCCCTGCTGCAGTGTTCCTTCTTTCTTATGTTCTTATGTTTTTAAGGAGCTAAAGGGAATTCCATAATAAAAGGATACAGTATAGACTGAAAGCAGTATGACGTTCAGTTCACTTCTTCAGCTTGATGTCTCAGTTATTGAATAGACTGGAAGGGTAAGTATGCTAAATAAAATTGACAAATTGGCCCCTGCAAAAAATACGAGATTTTCTGTAGGTATAATAGTCTGTAGTGGAAGGAAGGCGGGGTAGGGGTCGGCCTAGGAAAGGTTGGAGGGAGGGGGTAAAGGAGGTTTTGTGTGCGAGGGGCTTGGACTTCCAGCAGGCATGCGTGAGTGTGTTTGATAGGAGTGAATGGAGACAAATGGTTTTTAATACTTGACGTGCTGTTGGAGTGTGAGCAAAGTAACATTTATGAAGGGGTTCAGGGAAACCGGCAGGCCGGACTTGAGTCCTGGAGATGGGAAGTACAGTGCCTGCACTCTGAAGGAGGGGTGTTAATGTTGCAGTTTAAAAACTGTAGTGTAAAACACCCTTCTGGCAAGAAAGTGATGGAGTGAATGATGGTGAAAGTTTTTCTTTTTCGGGCCACCCTGCCTTGGTGGGAATCGGCCAGTGTGATAATAAAAAAATAATAATAAGCTAGAGTTTAAATATTAATCAGATGAGACTTTTCAATTTATCCCAAGAAAACAACTCTGCTATTTTTATTTACACAACTGGCACCTAGACAGCACAGTACCAGTGGGATAAAAAATCACTGACAGTCTGAAACTGATCTGAAGAGGCGTTCTCAAGCCGTGATGTGGAACCAATGGAAAAAGACAAAAAAAAAAAAGCTCGACAGCCTCTACTATCTTATATCAGGTATCCCTTAAAAGATTATACTTATTAAGAAACGACGGGGTCGAAATGAGAATGTATACAAAGAAAACACGACGCTTCAAGTTCATCAAATATATTTGGACTCACTTCCTCATGTACAAATCAGCAAATCTTCATAGTGGCAAGTGACCTGTCACCGGACAGCTACGTAGGATCTTGACATGTTCTTGCCGTCGACCTGTCCGGCTGGCTAGCATTAACCACATCTGTTGATGGGAAGTACGACCTGTCCAGCCTGACAGAAGTAGGAGAGACGGATGGTGGTTCGTGTGTCAGTGTAAAGCATAGTAACAGTGGTGGTGGTGCGGGTGATGGTCCAAAAGATGAGGCCCAGGAATTTCGAGTTTACGTCCCTTGATTCTTCTGGCGAGAGTTCTGTAGTTTCTTCGTCATATCCGAGCTCACGAGGATCTCTGTTATAGTCGACTATGCTGCCATCCAATCCAGAGTTGCTGGGGCATAAAGAAAATTTCCATTAGTTATGTGATGTATAACCTCTTTATCTGAGGCTGTGGGTCCCCAGTCAGTAATATATAGGTGTTACCTCCGTATATTTAACACATACACATAGCTTTAAGCAGAGGTACGATAAAGCTCAAGGCTCAGGGAGAGTGACCTAGTAGCGATCAGTGAAGAGGCGGGGCCAGGAGCTCGGACTCGACCCCCGCAACCTCAACTAGGTGAGTACAACTAGGTGAGTACACACACACACACACACACACACACACACACACACACACACACACACACACACACACACACACGCACACACAGAGAAAGGATGTTCCAGAGATGGGACACAGAAACAAGGGGTCACAATTGGAAGCTGAAGACTCATCTGAGTCAAAAGGATGTTAGGAAATATTTCATCAACCACAGAGTTGTTAGGAAGTGGAATAGTCTGGCAAGCGATGTAGTGGAGGCAGGAACCATACATAGTTTTTAGACAAGGTATGATAAAGCTCATGGAGCAGGGACAGGGAGGGCCCAGTAGCGATCAGTGAAGAGGCAAGGCCAATAGCTGAGTCTCGACCCCTGCAACCACAATTAGGTGAGCACACACACACACACACACACACACACACACACACACACACACACACACACACACACACACACACACACACATACACGCACACGCACATCACCCCGTGGGTCCTTAAAGAGGGAGCAGAGATGCTGTGTGTGCCACTAACCACAATCTTCAACATATCCCTTTAAACTGGGGCAACTACCTGAGGTATGGAAGTCGGCAAATGTAGTTCCCATTTTTAAAAAAGGAGACAGAAAAGAGGCACTAAACTATAGATCTGTGTCACGGACGTATATAGTATGCAAAGTCATGGAGAAGATTATCAGGAGGAGAGTGGTGGAGCACCTGGAACGGAACAAGAGTATAAACGACAACCAGCATGGATTCATGGAAGGCAAATCCTGCGCCACAAACCTTCTGAAGTTTAATGATAAAGTAACGGAAGTAAGACACTAGAGAGAGGGGTGAGTTAATTGCATTTTCTTGGACTGCAGGAAGGCCTTCGACACAGTTCCTCACGAGAGATTAGTGCAGAAGCTGGAGCATCATGCGCATATAACAGGAAGGGCACTGCAATGGATCAGAGAATACCTGACAGGGAGGCAACAACAAGTCATGGTACGTGATGAGGTATCATGATGTGAAGTTAATGAGGAGAATTAAATCAGATGAGGATCAGGCAGGACTTCAAAGAGACCTGGACAGACTGGACACCTGGTCCAGCAACTGGCTTCTCGAATTTAACCCCGCAAAATGCAAAGTCATGAAGATCTGGGAAGGGCAAAGAAGACCGCAGACCGAGTATAGGCTAGGTGGCCAAAGACTGCAAACCTCGCTCAAGGAGAAAGATCTTGGGGTGACCATAACACCGAGCACATCTCTGGAAGCACACATCAACCAGATAACTGCTGCAGCATATGGGCGCCTGGCAAACCTGAGAATAGCGTTCCGATACCTTAGTAAGAAATCGTTCAAGACACTGTACAGCGTGTACGTCAGGTCCATACTGGAGTATACAGCACCAGTTTGGAGCCCACACTTGATCAAGCACGTAAAGAAATTAGAGAAAGTACAAAGGTTTGCGACAACGTTAGTTCCAGAGCTAAGGGCAATGTCTTACGAAGAAAGGTTAAGGGAAATCGGCCTGACGACACTGGTGGACAGGGGGTTAAGGGAGACATGATAACGACATACAAAATACTGCGTGGAATAGGCAAGGTGGACAGAGGCAGGATGTTTCAGAGAGGAGATACAGAAACAAGGAGTCACAATTGGAAGATGAAGACTCAGATGAGTCAAAGGGATGTCAGGAAGTATTCCTTCAGTCATAGAGTAGTCAGGAAGTGGAATAGTCTAGCAAGTGAAGTAGTGGAGGCAGGGACCATATATAGCTTTAAGTCGAGGTTTGATAAAGCTCATGGAGCAGGGAAAGAGAGAGGACCTAGTAGCGTTCAGTGAAGAGGCGGGGCCAGCAGCTGAGTCTCGGCCCCTGCAACCACAATTAGGTGAGCACAATGAGGTGAGTATACACACCCCCACACATATGTATATATGTATATATATCTATCTATCTATCTATCCATCAATATATATATATATATATATATATATATATATATATATATATATATATATATATATATATATATATATATATATATATATATGTCGTGCCGAATATGTAAAACTGGTCAATTAGCAAGAACTCATTTAAAATTAAGTCCTTTCTGAATTTTCTCTTATACGTTTAAAAATATATATTTTTCATTAATGTTAATGTAAAAAATTTTAATTTTGCACCAAAAGAATCTTAGAAAACTTACCTAACCTTATTATAACAAGAGCAATTTGTTTTAGCCTAACCCAACTAAATAAATTTTAAATACGTTTACAATAATTTAGTGCTAAACAAACACAATCAAATATATTTTATTCATTAGGTTCAGAATGATTTTGGCGAAATTATTGCATACACAAATTTTCATTTGTCCTATATGGCAAGATGAGCGTTGCTATTTAAGCCAAGATCGCAAGTTCTGCCTATTCGGCACGACATATGTATATATATATATATATATATATATATATATATATATATATATATATATATATATATATTATATATATATATATATATATATTTGTATGTAATGTATATATATATATATACATATATATATAATATATATATATATATATATATATATATATAATTATATATATATATAATATATATATATATATATATATATATTAATATATATATATATATATATATATATATATATATATATAGGTAGTAGGTTGGTAGACAGCAACCACCCAGGGAAGTACTACCGTCCTGCCAGATGACTGTGAAACAAAAACCTGTAATTGTTTTGCATGATGGTAGGATTGCTGGTTTCTTTTTCTGTCTCATAAACACGCTAGATAACAGGGATATCTTGCTACCCCTACTAACACTTTGGTCACACTCACAGACACGCACATGCATATATATATAACATACATCTAGTTTTTTCCTTTTTCTAAATAGCTCTTGTTCTTTTTTATTTCTTCTTTTGTCCATGGGGAAGTGGAAAAGAATCTTTCCTCCGTAAGCCATGCGTGTCGTATGAGGCGACTAAAATGCCGGGAGCAAGGGGCCCTAGTAACCCCTTCTCCTGTATACAATTACTAAAAAGAGAAGAAGAAAAACTTTATAAAACTGGGTTGCTTAAATGTGCGTGGATGTAGTGCGGATGACAAGAAACAGATGATTGCTGATGTTTGAATGAAAAGAATTTGGGAAATGTCCGGCCCAAAGCGAAACAAAGCTGAAGGGGGTAGGAGAGTTTCAGTGGGGGGAAAATAAATGGGATTAAATCTGGGGGATCTGAGAGGTTAGAGAAAAGGAAGGGGTGCAGTAATGTTAAATGATCAGTTATGGAAGGAGAAAAAGAGAATATGAATGTGTAAATTCAAGAATTATGTGGATTAAAGAAAAGGGTTTGGATGCGAGAAGTGGGTATAATAAGCGGTATGCACCTGGAGAAGAGTGGAATTGCAGAGGAGAGAGAGAGTTTTTGGGGAGATGTTAAGTGAATGTATAGGAGCCTTGAACCAATTTGAGAGAGTATTGTGGTAGGGACCTGAATGCTAAAGTAGGAGAAACTTTTAGAGAGGGTGTGGTAGGTAAGTTTGGGGTGCCAGGTGTAATGAAATGGGAGCCCTTTGATTGAACTTTGTATAGAAAGGGGTTTAGTTTAAGGTAATACAATTTAAGAAAAAGAGGATAAATAAGTATACACGATATGATGTAAAGGGGGAAATGACAGTAGTTTTTTTGGATTATGTATTTGGTAGATAAAAGATGTTGATAGACTTCAGGATGTACATGTTTATAGAGGGGCCACAGATATATCAGATCACTTTCTAGTTGTAGCTACACTGAGAGTAAAAGGTAGATGGGGTACAAAGGGGAATAGAAGCATCAGGGAAGAGAGAGGTGGGAAAGGGTTTTTAAACTAAAAGAGGAGGCAGTTAGGGTAAGTATAAACAGCTATTGGAGGGTAGATGGGCTAATGAGAGCATAGGCAATGGGGTCGAAGAGGATGGGGTAGGTTTAAAAATGTAGTGTTAGAGTGTTCACAGAAGTTTGTGGTTACAGGAAAGGGGGGTGCAGGAGGGAAGAGGAGCGATTGGTGGAATGATGATGTAAAGAGAGTAGTTTAAAGGGGGAAAAAGTTAGCATATGAAGAATTTTTACAAAGTAGAAGTGATGCAAGGAGGGGAAAAGTATTTTGGAAAAAGAGAGAGGTTAAGAGAGTGGTGAAGCAATGTAAAAAGAGAGCAAATGAGAGAGTGGGTGAGATGTTATCAACAAATTTTGTTGAAAAAAAAGAAAAAGTTTTGGAGTGAGATTAACAAGTTAAGAAAGCCTAGAGAACAAATGGATTTGTCAGTTAAAAATAGGAGAGGAGAGTTATTAAATGGAGAGTTAGAGGTATTGGGAAGATGGAAGGAATATTTTGAGGAATTGTTTAAATGTTGATGAAGATAGGAAGCTGTGATTTCGTGTATAGGGCAAGGAGGAATAACATCTTGTAGGAGTGAGGAAGAGCCAGTTGTGAGTGTGGGGGAAGTTCGTGAGGCAGTAGGTAAATGAAAGGGGGTAAGGCAGCCGGGATTGATGGGATAAAGATAGAAATGTTAAAAGCAGGTGGGGATATAGTTTTGGAGTGGTTGGTGCAATTGTTTAATAAATGTATGGAAGAGGGTAAGGTACCTAGGGATTGCAGAGAGCATGCATAAGTTCCTTTGTATAAAGGCAAAGGGGATAAAAGAGAGTGCAAAAATTATAGGGGGATAAGTCTGTTGAGTGTACCTGGTAAAGTGTATGGTAGAGTTATAATTGAAAGAATTAAGAGTAAGACGGAGAATAGGATAGCAGATGAACAAGGAGGCTTTAGGAAAGGTAGGGGGTGTGTGGACCAGGTGTTTACAGTGAAACATATAAGTGAACAGTATTTAGATAAGGCTAAAGAGGTCTTTGTGGCATTTATGGATTTGGAAAAGGCGTATGACAGGGTGGATAGGGGGCAATGTGGCAGATGTTGCAAGTGTATGGTGTAGGAGGTAGGTTACTGAAAGCAGTGAAGAGTTTTTACGAGGATAGTGAGGCTCAAGTTAGAGTATGTAGGAAAGAGGGAAATTTTTTCCCAGTAAAAGTAGGCCTTAGACAAGGATGTGTGATGTCACCGTGGTTGTTTAATATATTTATAGATGGGGTTGTAAGAGAAGTAAATGCGAGGGTCTTGGCAAGAGGCGTGGAGTTAAAAGATAAAGAATCACACACAAAGTGGGAGTTGTCACAGCTGCTCTTTGCTGATGACACTGTGCTCTTGGGAGATTCTGAAGAGAAGTTGCAGAGATTGGTGGATGAATTTGGTAGGGTGTGCAAAAGAAGAAAATTAAAGGTGAATACAGGAAAGAGTAAGGTTATGAGGATAACAAAAAGATTAGGTGATGAAAGATTGAATATCAGATTGGAGGGAGAGAGTATGGAGGAGGTGAAACGTATTCAGATATTTGGGAGTGGACGTGTCAGCGGATGGGTCTATGAAAGATGAGGTGAATCATAGAATTGATGAGGGAAAAAAGAGTGAGTGGTGCACTTAGGAGTCTGTGGAGACAAAGAACTTTGTCCTTGGAGGCAAAGAGGGGAATGTATGAGAGTATAAGTTTTACCAACGCTCTTATATGGGTGTGAAGCGTGGGTGATGAATGTTGCAGCGAGGAGAAGGCTGGAGGCAGTGGAGATGTCATGTCTGAGGGCAATGTGTGGTGTGAATATAATGCAGAGAATTCGTAGTTTGGAAGTTAGGAGGAGGTGCGGATTACCAAAACTGTTGTCCAGAGGGCTGAGGAAGGGTTGTTGAGGTGGTTCGGACATGTAGAGAGAATGGAGCGAAACAGAATGACTTCAAGAGTGTATCAGTCTGTAGTGGAAGGAAGGCGGGGTAGGGGTCGGCCTAGGAAGGGTTGGAGGGAGGGGGTAAAGGAGGTTTTGTGTGCGAGGGCTTGGACTTCCAGCAGGCATGCTTGAGCGTGTTTGATAGGAGTGAATGGAGACAAATGGTTTTTTTAATACTTGACGTGCTGTTGGAGTGTGAGCAAAGTAACATTTATGAAGGGATTCAGGGAAACCGGCAGGCCGGACTTGAGTCCTGGAGATGGGAAGTACAGTGCCTGCACTCTGAAGGAGGGGTGTTAATGTTGCAGTTTAAAAATTGTAGTGTAAAGCACCCTTCTGGCAAGACAGTGATGGAGTGAATGATGGTGAAAGTTTTTCTTTTTCGGGCCACCCTGCCTTGGTGGGAATCGGCCGGTGTGATAATAAAATAAAAAAAAAAAATATATATATATATATATATATATATATATTTTATATATATTATATATATATAATATATATATATATATGTCGTGCCGAATATGTAAAACTGGTCAATTAGCAAGAACTCCATTTAAAAAATTTAAGTACAATCTAAAATTTTCTCTTATAAGTTTAAAGATATATTTTTTTCATTAATGTTAATGTAAAAAATTTTAATTTTGCACCAAAAGAATCTTAGAAAACTTACCTAACCTATTATAACAAGTGCAATTTATTTTAGCCTAACCCAACTGAATATATTTTAGATTTGTTTACAGTAATTTAATACTAAACAAACACAGTGAAATATATTTTTTTTCGTTAGGTTAAGAATGATTTTGGCGAAATTATTGCATACACAAATTTTCGCTTGTCCTATATGGCAAGATGACGTTGCTATTTAAGCCAAGATCGCAAGTTCTGCCTATTCGGCACGACATATATATATATATATATATATATATATATATATATATATATATATATATATATATATATATATATATATATATATATATATATATATAAATATATATATATATATATATATTCTTTCAACACACCGGCCGTATCCCACCGAGGCGGGGTGGCCCAAAAAGAAAAACGAAAGCTTCTCTTTTTAAATCTATTAATATATACAGGAGAAGAGGTTACTAGCCCCTTGCTCCCGGCATTTTAGTCGCCTCTTACAACACGCACGACTTACGGAGGAAGAATTCTGTTCCACTTCCCCATGGAGATAAAAGGAAATAAACAAGAACTAATAAGAAAATAGAAAAAAAACATAGTACGGTACGGTAGGAAAATTTTTATATATTAAATATGTTTTTCTGCATGTTGCAGTTTTGAATATATATCATAGTTCAATTAAACATAAGATTACTATAAGAATACAATGTTGCTGAAGGCAACACAAAACAATTTTTGTACTTATTTGAATTGTAATCCCCTTAATGCAACCTTTGCGAGTATTTTGAGTAAATCCATTTGATGTAAAACTTGCAACACCGATAACCCACAAATACTCACTCATCATCATTGTCTTGTACATCAACAACTGAGAATAAAGATTTCTTCTTTCGTTTGCCTTGGCATAAAACTGTGCTGGTGCCTGAGAGGCAGGAGAAGAACACTGTGGAAGTGACCATCACTACGTCAGTGTAGGTGGTCGTTGAGAGAGAACCGATGAAGCGATCTCGGTCCTTGGCTTCGGGGTCGAGTTCGGAGCCATGTGTGACATTGGTCTCGGGAAGGTTCTCAACATCCTGGGAAAGCTGGCTGTGCAGTACCTCCTGTGCTGTGGCTAGGCATGAGCACAGCGTCAGTACCAGCACCAGCGACGTCCCTTGAATCTGTAATGTTAGGTGGCTGTGTTAACGCAATACAGAAACTGAGAAAAACAGAAAATATATACAAAGGAGGAATGTTGTTGCTCTGTATGGTTACCTTACTCCTTATTTCTCCATAATTATTGTTCCTGGTAAGCACCATCTTAACTGTATTAACTACGAGGCTAAGCTATGTGAGTATACTTTTATTACTGTGTTGAATAATGTTTCAGATTTAAAGAATCTTAGAAAACTTACGTAACCATATTATAATAAGCGCAATTTACCTTAGCCTAATCCAACTAAATTTATTTTAGATAAGTTTATAATAATTTAATAATAAACAAACACAATGAAATATTCTTTTCTTCATTAGGTTCAGAATGATTTTTGCTAAATTATTACATACACAAATTTTCCCTTGCCTATTCGGCAAGAAGAGCTTTGCTATTTAAGCCATAATCACAAGTTTTACATATGACTAAGGAAACCTTCAAGTAATATACAGGTTTAATAACCTCGAAACTTTCATGCATTGGCAGCACATAATTTTATTATTTAAAGATCTTCAGTAAGATGACCTTCTAGTTACGAATAATAAGAGAAGAAGAGTAAGACAATGATAATAAGCAGCTCCAGGTGCTGGTAAAGGTTATGTTTATATTTCCGGGATGTTTTATGTTCAGATGTTTAGGCTGTGTTGTCCCAGCTTGTTGGGGGAAGCTTGAAGCATCTGTTCAAGATGCTGTACAATGTGTTGTGTACAAATAAGCAGCACACAGGAGAGAGACAAGCTAGCGACGAGGTATCTGTCCAAACCCTATCACGGGCGGGATTTGAACCCGCGGTCAGAGAGTCTCAAAACTCTCTGGAGATTCGTCTGTAAAAACTTGCATTTGTGGTCGCAGTGGTGCCTATGCTAACCTTCCTATGGTGCTGAAATATACCTAGTTGGACGAATCTTATTGTGGCTAGCTGGTCCAGTGGCTAACACGACGGTCTGGAGTTTTGAGACTCTCTGACCGCAGTTCAAATCGTGATCATATCTGCCCAAATCGTACTGATAGTATCCGTAACTCGATTCTTGCTCAACACTGAGCTCAATGGTCGATCCATTGGGGTGTAACATAGACGTGTTTCCTTCAACACTCTGTCCATGTTCACTAGCTTTAAATAGGTACCTGGGTGCTAATCGACTGGTGTGGGTTGCATCTGGAGACAAACTGACTAATTGCCCGAATGTCAGCATACAGCGACTTTCTATATGTAATATGTCACTGATGTCATCTAGGTCTGTATACCTTGTACATGTACTGTAGAATGAAGTTATCATTATATTTATTATATAGTTATTATGTTATACACTGTAGTCGTAGACTTCTCCTCTACCATGTGGGTTATATGTATTTTCCATCACGAAATTGTGCCTTTTTGTTCAGTAGGTGTACATTAAGTACTAACCACTGTTGTTACCTATGGTGTGTTCTACCATTGGTAGGAAGCTGTGTCGTAGTGTTGGCAAATTGTCGTGTAACTAAGGGTTGCTATTAATGCATAATATATTGTACAGCATCTTGAACTGATGCTTTTAGCTAACTTCGATTATTAAAGTCAACTAGTATTACCCATGGTCGCACGTATTACTCAGCACTAAACACTGCTGGGACGGAAGGAGGGGTGGGCTCTCTTTCCCTTGACTCAGCACTAAACACTGTTGGGACGAAGGAGGTGGGCTCTTTTACCCTTGACTCAGCACTAAACATGCTGGACGGAAGGAGGGGTGGGCTCCTTTCCTGACCAGCACTAAACACTGTTGGGACTGAAGGAGGGTGGGGCTCTCTTTCCCTTGACTCAGCACTAAACACTGCTGGGACGGAAGGAGAGGTGGGCTCTCTTTCCCTTGACTCAGCACTAAACACTGCTGGGACGGAAGGAGAGGTGGGCTCTCTTTCCCTTGACTCAGCATAACACTGCTGGACGGAAGGAGAGGTGGCTCTCTTCCCTTGACTCAGCATAAACACTGCTGGGACGGAAGAGAGGTGGCTCCTTTCCCTGACTCAGCACTAAACCGCTGGGACGGAAGGAGAGGTGGCTCTCTTTCCTTGACTCAGCACTAAACACTGCTGGGACGGAAGGAGAGGTGGGCTCTCTTTCCCTTGACTCAGCACTAAACACTGCTGGGACGGAAGGAGAGGTGGGCTCTCTTTCCCTTGACTCAGCACTAAACACTGCTGGGACGGAAGGAGAGGTGGGCTCTCTTTCCCTTGACTCAGCACTAAACACTGCTGGGACGGAAGGAGAGGTGGGCTCTCTTTCCCTTGACTCAGCACTAAACACTGCTGATTGTTTACTAGTGTGCCAGAGATTCTTCAAAAAAAAAAAACCTCACAGGAAAGTATCTCTGAATAAAAATCGGAGGAAAAAATTATACAATCCAGAAATAAGCCAACTTCACAGTACCTACATTACTGTACACACACACACACACACACACACACACACACACACACACACACACACACACACACACACACACACACACACACACACACACATACGTAGGTAGTATTTCTTCAGTCACAGAGTTGTCAGGAAGTGGAATAGTCTAGCAAGTGATGTAGTGGAGGCAGGAATCATACATAGCTTTAAGAAGGAATTAGCCGACAGAACAAGTTAGAGAAAGTTACACAATTCGCAGAACAACCTTTGCGGTTGATGAATGAGACACTTACGCAACATTCGGGAATCTTTATTCAGTTTTCTCATAACTGATGGAGTGAATATATCGACCTCAGGCTGAGGGACTGATTACTTCAAATTCCTCCTCATCTTTCAGCGTTCTTGGTACTATACTGAAGAAGCCACTGGCTGGCACAATGGTCTCATTCTTCAACTTGTCAGTTTTCTAAATCATTTAGAGCACAACCTTCACTCTGACAACGTTGTCTCCCACTTAAAGTGGTTCTGCCGTCTGTGTGTTTTTCTTCAATGTTGTCGGTAATACGACATTTAGATGTATAGTTTGTTGCTGTTGTTGTTGTTGTTGTTCTTGTTCTTGTTGTTTTTGTTGTTGTTGTTGTTGCAAGATCAGACCATCAGCCTTTAAGGAAGTTATTTTGAGGTGGTCATCTACGTCACATGTATTCTGTATTATATTTTATAGAAATAAAGATGACTTTTTGTCTTTACCTTCTTCATTCCAACCCACATTTTTCCCTGACTCTCTGGAGTCAGGATTCAGTAAGCCGTAATGTAGCCCTTTAACTTTATCGAGAGTCTAGCTCAATGGTTTTCTTGCTTAGAACGCCCTACTGGACTTCAAATTGGCAGTGGTCAAAAGCCACTCATCATCTGATTCCCCAGTTTCGAGCCACCATCTTACCCAATTTTATTTCCAAAATGGTACACTACATAAATCAGGGAACAGGTGTGGCTTAAACCTATACTGGGTGGCTGCTAAAATTAGCTCACAGTCCAGTGCGTTAACACTGGACCAACTGACTCTAATAAGAGTTATCCAACGAGGTATATTTTTATGCACCATGGGGAGGTTAGCATGGGCCACCACTGTGACCGCAAATACATGTTTGTACAGACGAGTCCCACACCAGCGTGGCTGTGGTGAACTTTAGCTCGTGTCCCCTCAAAGCAGCCATCATGACACGCGAAATCGTAATAACGCGAATGCAAACACAAACCACGGAACGGGTGGGGGTTGAACCTAAAGCGAGTGAGAATTAAAACTCACAGGCCAGTGTGTCACAGCCACCCTGGTGTGGAATTCGTCTATCTAAGGTATAAACCCCCTCCCCCCGTGATGCAACCCACAACAGTTGACTAAAACCCAGGTTACCTACTCATTGGTAGGTGAATGTGGGCATTAGGTGTAAGGAAACATGCCCAGTGTTTCCACCCTTTCTGGGGAACGAACCACAGACACTCAGTATGTGAGTTGAGTGCGTTACCAACCGAGCCACGGGACATCTTTTGAACACAGATTGAGATAGTCGTAGAACATCCCAATAAATTGACAGTAGGTTAGTGGGTGCTACAAAGAAATTCAACAATAAAAGAAGAAATTAGTACAGCCCTTTATCAAGTTACAGGAAAAAAGAACATTTGACTTTCGTTATGAGAGAAGAAACTTGTAGCTAGTTCGGATGTTTGCTACAACAAAAGCCGATATAAAGAGAAACAATAGACTGTAGAAGACATGAGAATCTCGAGACGTCAGCATACAGTATCTGATCCGGTCCAGACAACAACAGAGGTTCACGCTTGAGAACAACTTCCGAACTTATGAATAAATGGTTTAAATAACTGACAAGGTGATAAATGAGACACTTGCGCAACATTTCGGTAACTTTACTCCTGAAAAGTTTCGCCAGCCAGTGGTTTCTCCACCTTTCTCTGCACTGGACTGAAGAAGCCACTGGCTGGCGAAGCTTTTTGCAGAATAAAGATACCAAGATGTTGCACAGGTGTGTCATTTATCGGCTACCGAACCCCTGTAGTTGTTGCTTTCCTCAGTAGTCTCCCTTATCTTCTTCCATAACTTCTCTCATTCAGCCATATCTTCCTCACCCACGTCCCTCTCACCTGCCTCTCACACCCTTTTCTACTCTCTTATCCTATTCTTCCCTCCTGACTTACCATGGACATGGTTAAGCACTGAGTGCAGACAAGGACTAACAGCTAGCTGTGTCAGCCTCGCCTCTTATACACTCTACACTTGTTAATTTTCAGCCCAGTGCCTCAATTTCTTCCGCGATGCTATTTTTGCCCACCATAAAAAAAAATCGGTCTATTTTCCTACTAATTTTCACAGTAGGAATTTTTCCTTATTATCGTGTTTACTCCTCTCTCTCTTTCTCTCTCTCTCTCTCTCTCTCTCTCTCTCTTCTCTCTCTCTCTCTCTCTCTCTCTCTCTCTCTCTCTCTCTCTCTCTCTCCTCTCTCTCTCTCTCTCTCTGGTACAAATAGCGCAAAGTCACTGAATAAAAAAAATCTTGTACAGAGCCCTTGTCAAATCAGAATCTCATTTAAGTATCCCTGGAAGACAAACGCCGAGTCAGATGACTCTGGCTGCATCACAGACCTACAAGTATTAGATGCGGGTTACCTGGCATTTAGCTACACCACAGCTCAACAGGCAGTCAAGCAAACCATTAGTGGAATAAGACACTTATGTACGGTTCAGGACATATAAGAAACGTATCACCCCGAGTGCCTTTTTCAGTCCTAAGGACTGAAGAAACCGCTCGTGGCGTAACGTTACCTATAATAAATGTCTTGAACCGCACGTAAGTGTCTTTATCCACAACTTATAGGTATCACCAGACCATTTATTAAATCATTACTTTCACGAAACAACTCCTTGTACAGCATTAAAAAAATCAGCTTCAAGAGAAGTAAGCCAAATAAATATATATTATCGTTCCATTAAGTAGAGTCAGTACTGGACACCCTCATATCACTGTGTACGTACCTGAAGCTGCTGGTGTCCCGTAGCTCGATTGGTAGCCCACTCATCTCATGAGTGGGGTCGATGTCCTGTACTGGTGGAACATTAGGACGTGTTTCCTTAAGACACCTGTTGTTCTTGTTCACCCATCAATAAAATAGGTACCTGGGTGTTAGTGGATTGGTGTGGGTCGCATCCTGGGGACAAAAATTGACCTAATTTGTTCGAAATGCCCTGCATAACAAGCGGCTTCCTATATAACAGTATGTCATTGATTATTATTATATTATTTTTATTATTATTATTATTATTATTATTATTATTATTATTATTTTTATTATTATTATTATTATTATTATTATTATTATTATTATTATTATTATTATTATTATTATTATTTCCCAGGAGGCGACATGAGTTGCTCTACCGAAAGAAAATCGCGTTGCAACGCTGTAAAATAGACTGGATGTTCAACGCAGCAAATTATTCCTGATGAACCACCAGCTGGTCAAATAATCGCTTCATCCGGCGTATTATAAATAATTTTTGTTTTCCGAATTATTGCAGCCAAATATTAAAATAATCGTTCTTGGGAAAATCACTTACGACGTTCCCTGTAAATCTTGCATAGAAATTCTCTGTAATTCTTGCAGATAAATTCCCTATGAATCTTGCAGAGGAATTATCTCAAATAGAATTAACACTTAAAGTGTCGTATAGAAGAGGCCAAAACATTTCTTGTACAAGAAGACCCGTCAAAGAGGAGCTGGAACATTCCCCTCCCTTTCCTCGGATCAAGCATCATTGACTACTCTCTCCCGTGGTGCTCTGTGGCCCCTTAGAGTTAGCGCTTCACAGGATTGTATGAAACCGTGTTGTATAGGGACATGGGCCAATGACATCCCTAGCACCTCTCCCATGTTGTAGTGGGAGAGTTACCACCACCACCACCCATGACAACCCCAGCACCTCTCACATGTTGTAGTGGGAGAGTTACCACCACCCATGACAATCCCTAGCACCTCTCACATGTTGCAGTGGGAGAGTTACCACCACCCATGACAACCCCAGCACCTCTCACATGTTGCAGTGGGAGAGTTACCACCACCCATGACATCCCTAGCACCTCTCACATGTTTGCAGTGGGAGAGTTACCACCACCCATGACAATCCCTAGCACCTCTACATGTTGAGTGGGAGAGTCCACCACCACCATGACACCCTAGCGACCTCTCCATGTTGTAGTGGGAGAGTTACCACCCACACCAGACACCCTAGCACCTCTTACCCTGTTGTAGTGGGAGAGTTACCACCACCCATGACATCCCTAGCACCTCTTACATGTTGTAGTGGGAGAGTTACCACCACCCATGACATCCCTAGCACCTCTTACATGTTGTAGTGGGAGAGTTACCACCACCCATGACATCCCTAGCACCTCTTACATGTGTCAGTGAGTGGGAGAGTTACCACCACCCATGACATCCCTAGCACCTCTTACATGTTGTAGTGGGAGAGTTACCACCACCCATGACATCCCTAGCACCTCTTACATGTTGTAGTGGGAGAGTTACCACCACCACCACCCATAACAACCCCAGCGCCTCTCCCATGTTGCAGTGGGAGAGTTACCACTACCACCACCACCACCACCCATGACAACCCCAGCACCTCTCCCATGTTGCAGTGGGAGGGTCACCACCACCATCACCCATGACAACCCCAGCACCTCTCCCATTTTGCAGTGGGAGGGTCACCACCACTACCACTACCACCCATGGCAGCCACAGCACCTCTCCCATGTTGCAGTGGGAGGGTCACCACCACCACCACCCATGACAACCCCAGCACCTCTCCCATGTTGCAGTGGGAGGGTTCACCACCACCACCACCCATGACAACCCCAGCACCTCTCCCATGTTGCAGTGGGAGGGTCACCACACCACCACCATGACAGCCACAGCACCTCTCCCATGTTGCAGTGGGAGGTTACCACCACAACACCCCGATGACAACCCCAGCACCTCTCCCATGTTGCAGTGGGAGAGTCACCACCACCACCGCCCATGACAACCCCAGCACCTCTCCCATGTTGCAGTGGGAGGGTCACCACTACCACCACCCATGACAACCCCAACACCTCTCCCATGTTGCAGTGGGAGAGTTACCACCACAATCACCGCCCATGACAACCCCAGCACCTCTCCCATGTTGCAGTGGGAAGGTCCCCACCACCACCACTACCATCCATGACAACCACAGCACCTCTCCCATGTTGCAGTGTGAGGGTCACCACCACCCATGACAACCCCAGCTTAAGTGTCTCGGTTCTTCAACTTGTCGGTTTTCAAAACCATTCATCACATCTCTATTCTGCAGATGTTTCGCCAACACCAGTGGCTTTATCAGTACAATACAGAAGACAGGAAAGCACAGGCAGCAAGACCTTCCAGTGGGATTCATCTCGTCTGACTCCAGTATATAAAAGTCCATGACTACGGTACTGAACGCCTTCTCCTAGGCTGAGGGACTGATTACCTCATTTTCTACATGTCCAGTTTTATGTATTGTACTCATAAAGCCACTTTATCCTTATTCAGGAAACGTTTCGCCAGCAAGTGACTTCTTCAGTCCAATGCCAAGAAAGGTTCAGGTTCGAGGTTCTATCCCCGGTACAACTAGAAACGTTGGGAGTGTTTTCTTAAGATACCTGCTGTTCCTGTTCACTTAGTAGCAAGGTAGGTATGTGGGTGTTAGCCGACTGGTGTGGGTCGCATCCTGGAGTATACCAGGATGCGACCTGGAGGGTGTTCTTCTGGTCAAAGCCCCCGCGGCCAGATCTTAAGATGTTAATAATCAAAGTCTTAACGTGTTAATAATCAAGGTTTGAGCGTGTTAAAAGTCAAGGTCTCGACGTGTTAATAGTCAAGGTCTGAACATTTTAATAAAGATATTAACGGGTGCAAATTACAATGTGTCAGAGAGAGTTGTAGATGAATGGTTCAGAGAACCGACGTGTTGATAAATTAGACACATGTACAACTCTTGGGTATCTTATTGAGGAAACGTTTCGCCACACAGTGACTGCTGCCAAGATGCAAGTTGCTGATCCAGCAAGGGGCCTACCATAGCTAGCTGCAAGAACTGTGTCAAAGTTGTTAGCGTAGCAATAAGGCAGGATGAGGTGTATCTTATCTTTAAATAGCTTGAGCAAGAAAAGGCTGTGGGTCCAGACAAAGGATAATTTTGAAGAACAGGGGAATGAGGTAATCAGTCCCTCAACCTTGAGTCGATGTGGTCAGTTCATCAATCTTGAATAGAATACGGCATATGGGCGGAGAAGGAGCTTATATACCATAGGCAGGAGAGGTGCAGCAGTCGTAGGTGGTGTCACATTTGTTCAATGTGGAAGTAGGTCGTGCCCAAGGGTTAGGCAAGCGAAGAATTCCCAAGTATTAAGATCCCAAGAAGTTGCAGGTTCTGACAGGATTGTAGATGAATGGTTCAGAGAACCGACACGTTGATAAATTAGACACATGTGATACCACCTACGACTGCTGCACCTCTCCTGCCTACGGTTTATAAGCTCCTTCTCCGCCCATATGCCGTATTCTATTCAAGATTGATGGACTGACCACATCGACTCAAGGTTGAGGGACTGATTACCTCATTCTCCTCCTGTTCTTCAAGATTATCCTTTGTATGGACTGATGAAGCCACTGTGTGGCGAAACGTTTCCTCAATAAAGATACCCAAGAGTTGCACATGTGTCTAATTTATCAACGTGTCAGAGAGAGAGAGAGAGAGAGAGAGAGAGAGAGAGAGAATCCCTCAATGGAAATAAGTCACTTTGTCTGACTATGTATGATAATCTATGTAACTGTGTTTGTGTATACCAGAATAAACTTATTTTCGGAAAAAAGTTTTCTTCATGTACATTTACCGCAAATACCATCATAACCATGAAGAAAATACGATCAAAATTTAGCAGTGACTCACAATGGGAAATAAGTATGTTGTCTACTTTGAAAAAAAAAAAGATATTCACAGTATTTTTATTTTTACATGATAAGTTAAATTACTAAAATATTGGAACATCAGTGGTCAAAGATGGACACAGACTGAATGTGGAATCTATAGAAAAGCATCATTTATAGTGGTTTGGACTCTCTTCCTCAGGTTCAACATTTACTGACGTTCGTGAAGTCAGTTTCTTAAGTTGAAAACTTAGCAACTATACAAGGATTATCAAGGCGAGATTCCAAAAAGTATACTTTAATCCTTAAAATAGGGACTAAAGCAAACTTAGTGTATGTACACCGAGAGATATACTTATTTCGGTGTGTATAAATTGAGATTTTTCGTGATTTCTCACATTATCAAGGAACTGTGAGGAATTTCTCTGTTTTTTCAATAGTGGTTGTTTTGCATATTGTGATATCACCTGTTTGCTGTGATCATATTGCATATTGGTGTATATAAATAGAGATATCAATATCTCGATGTATGTAAACCGAAAGATGTATATATATCGTTGTAAATACCGCGGTGGTTAGTCATATTGGACAGGTCATTTGTCACCAGGTTAGGGCACTGACTTGGAATCGCAAGATCTCATTTTTTTCCTCATGTTTCCGAGTTTCTTTAACATGTTAGCCTATTATCTTTATTTATATATTTCTCAGGGATCATTGAGTCTTGTCAGGTCTGGACAAACTTTCCCTGTTCCCTGATCTTGTAAGAATCTTCCCAGTCTTGCCAGGCCTACCCTTATCTTGCCTAGGTCTCTTCCCTATCTAGTTTGGTCTTCTTTAATTATGTCAGGTCTTGTAAAGTGTTTCCCGGTTTTGTTCAGGTCTAGGCAGCACCCCCACTGATGACTTGTTGACTTCGCAAACATCAACCAGCACATCTGAAGATAGGGAGTTGAATTTGTCCAGCCAAACAGAAGTAAGAGAGACGGATGGTTGTTCTTGTGTCCGTGTAGAGCATAGTGACAGTGGTGGTGGTGCGGGTGGTGGTCCAGAGAGTCAGGAAGATTTTTTCATTACTATGAGCCGCCTCGTGTGCTTCGGGTTCTGAATATGGGGAATAAGTAGACGAATCCACCTCTGTATCCTCACTGCCAGCCAGATCGACTCTGACGGAGAAAATACAGAATTTTAGCAAGCATTATTATTTCGTTTAAAAAAAAGATAGCATTTAAAATGTGTGTTACATCCTCTCTACTGTTATATCTCAACGATGCATTGTCATACTTCATATGAATGGATATAACCCAAGGTCAGGTCTATGATAATATACCCACACATTAAGCGAAGCATTACAAAATTCAATTCTTAGACACACAGTGCTTCCGATATATGTAAATAACTTACCGGTGGAGACGCCTACGTATCAGTATTTGCAACAGACTCAAAACTAACGTGGGGCGAACGAAAACTTACAACGACTGCAATACGATCCTAGACGGCGACTTAACCAGCAAGAGAGATTGTTAGGGCTCGATACGGCATGTGCTGTCAGTGGCCCCATAAACCCCAACAACAGAAATTGTCCATCAGTTGGTAACTGAAATTCACTCCGAGCAAATGCAAAGATGTGAGAAATGAATCAGAAGGTAAGTGGCCAGAAGAAAGTACCATCTTGTACAGGGAAAAAAAGAAAAGGATCTAGGGGTGGGTATCACACCAAACTTATTTCCCTTAAGATGCAGACAAGCAGAAATGACAAGGAAGCTACATGCAAAAACTGACAAATATAAGATTAGGCTTCAGAAATCTGAACAGAGGCATTCTGGTCACTGTAAACTGCAAGTGTAAGAGCAGTACCAGAGAGTACATAACATTATATACAACCCTCCTTTTATAAAAAAATATACAATAGAACTATGAGGGCTGGAATACGAAGATAGGTTAAGGAAGTTAAAGCTTATAAGAAAATATGTCAAGGAAGCACATGTAAACTGTAAATTTAAACTGATTAAAAACCATCAGGACCAATTCCTTCAGTGTGAGGGTAGTGTATATAATAATGTATTAGAAGAGAAATACTGGAGGCCAACTCAGTACATGTTTTCAAAAGTAAATATGAGTGCCCAAAAGACAGGAAGTAAACTATAAAAGTTAACTGAAGTGCAAGAGCATGGACCGAGAGCTAAAGTTCAATAAAGGGACCTCTGAATGTGGCAATAAAGCAGCCCTGCCAACGGAAAAAACAGAGATGTTGGAGACGTGGTGTCCGTTACTACGTAGCAGTGAGTGGCCAACAGTGCAGACAATTTAGTGGAGGACATCCTGACTCACAACTAACTCAAAATACCAAAACAAACTAACACTCTTATACATAAACATATATACGTACACAAAAGTACATTTATTATTATAATCATACGTTTTTAACTTAGTTACTGAATAAGGTTAACGTAGATACGCTTCATACCTCACTGGACAACAGTTTTCGCAAATACTCCCCTGACAGAATGTAATCATTGTTATACATACTCTTCATTATCAGGTAATTCTAGCAACATGCGCAAGTCCTTCTTCCTGCGTCGTCCCTGGCAGACAGTATTTGTAGTGGTGCCGGAGAGGCAGGAGAAGAACACTGTAGAGGTGACCATCACCACGTCAGTGTAGGTGGTCGTTGTGTACCCTGCGAAGAAGCGGTTCCGATCACTGAGTTCTTCTGGAAATTTGATGTCTGTTGCGCCTGCAACCACCGCAGACTTGGCCTGCTCGTTCTGCTGTGCACCCTCATTAGGCTTAGCCTGCTCCTCCTGCTGTACACTCTCAGCAAGCTTGGACTGCTCCTCCAGCTGCACCCCCTCAACAGGCTTGGGCTGCTCTTGTGGCTGCACACCCTCAGCTACCACTGCTGTCAGGTACGAAACCAACAACAGCCCCAGCACCTTGCCTCGCATCTCTAAGGTTCTGCAATAAGACGTGAAACATAAAAAGTACTCAGAGAAGATATTGTTGCGTTACATAGACACCACAGATTAAACATCAGCAAATACGTATATGAAGTTCAGTGTTGATACTGTTGCAGTCTCATACTGATTGACTCCTTTAGATTACACGAGGGTCATTCAAGGATACTTCAGGCCACCCAAAATAGGTATTAAAGTAATCTTTCAGCCTATGAACACTGACAAAGGTACACATACATTTCGGTGGATATAACCGACTGCACCCATAATACATGTTTCGAAGGCAGTCACCGCAGTATAAAGTTCGAAAGAATTTATATATACGTGAATCATGTTACTGTCTGAAGAGACAATATCATCATTGCCCTTCTAAAGTCTCCCAGCTCGGTCTTAATACGTGAGACTGCAAATATCCACCAAAATGATAGTCTTCTCTAGTATAATTTCGATATATTTAGAAGGCATTTTGATGTGCGCAGACACACGGTGCAATGGCCACAAGTGGAGGAAAAATCTAATTGTGATGTTTCCTTCGATGAAGAGAGCAGTTTGTTTAATGAATTTTAAACATGGGTTCACAAGAAGCCGTTCTCTCCCTAACATGGGTTCACAAGAAGCCGTTCTCTCCCTAACATGGGTTCACAAGAAGCCTCTCTCCCTAACATGGGTTCACAAGAAGCCGTTCTCTCCCTAACATGGGTTCACAAGAAGCCGTTCTCTCCCTAACATGGGTTCACAAGAAGCTCTTCCCTACTGTCCAGAGCTCTCCCTAACATGGGTTCACAAGAAGCCGTTCTCTCCCTAACATGGGTTCACAAGAAGCCTCTCTCTCCCTAACATGGGTTCACAAGAAGCCTCTCTCCCTAACATGAGTTCACAAGAAGCCTCTCTCCCTAACATGGGTTCACAAGAAGCCTCTATCCCTAACATGGGTTCACAAGAAGCCGTTCTCTCCCTAACATATTTACTGACTTTCTTTAGTAAAACATCTGAGGAGGCAGATGTTGTCTAGTTGGATTTCACTGTGACTTTTAATTGAGTCCCACAACAACAAACACTGTTGAGGAAAATGGCAGCACATGACGCCGGAGAATAGTTCTCTCCTAAATACATAGAAACGGGGCTAACAAATAGGTAAAAGAACCTACATAAATGTAGCTTCCATGTAATAGCTAGAGAATGTCTCTCCTGGTCAGCTTCAAACTCTCAAACGTTGGTGTATATCAATTGGAAGTATTTATTTTCTTGAATTTGTACCTCAGTGGTGCTATTTGGCCAGTTTTATAGATTTATCTTACGAATTTAGACTTTAAAAAAACACCAAATAAAACGTTTTTTTATTTTTCTCTTAACGGATTGCAAAGAATTTTAAATAGAATACAACTGGAAAAAAGAGAGTTGAGAAAAATGCATTGAAAACTCTCGGCTTTATAGCCTTTTAAATTTTCACGAGTTAGGTGAACTTTTAAATATTGTAGGAATTACTGGCTGAGCAGCAGACACAGCGTTGGGTCCAATGCTCTTATTCTCCACTTATCCTACACTGGTCACTTATTCTCCACTTATCCTACACTGGTCACTTATTCTCCACTTATCCTACTGCTTCTAAGTGAAGGTTCGCGGAGCAAATGACAAGTGCAGGGGCGGCGCCCCCTCTACTCTCTACACAACCCCCCTCAGCAGCCTCAAGGCAAAATAATGCAATAATATAAGAAATAATACTACACAAGCGCCATTAATTAAAAATACCAACCTTCTGATATACATCAGCCGTGGAATTTTAAAGCCTCTTCGGAAAGGCTTCAAAATTTTCAACTTTTGTGTTTCTTACTTAGAAGTTTTGGTATTGTTAATTAATAGTTTGTGTATAACATTACTTCTGTTGTTATTTCATATTTTGTCTTGATGGAAGAATAAACACAAAAGCAGTATAATGTGATCCTTTATTGGCAACGTTTCGCCCAGACAGTTTGTTTTATCAGGTGATAGATAGATCTATCTGGGCGAATATTACATGAGTATTTATAGGACGTAGAGTCAGGTGGAGAATGTTGGGTAGGTTGTATTTGCGACAAACCTGTAAGGGCCGCTGAGAATGTTTGTTGGATGTTAATAATAGTTCACAGTATATTGCATTTCTGTTTATTTTTCCATTTATCTCCAGTTTACCTTGATACTGTTGAGGGGACTCTTGATTCAAGGAACTGGATGTATCCTCCCCCTCCTTGGTTCGAATTCTAAATGCCTACGCTTTATGACCCCCTGTTGCTTTAGCGCTTTCCGGTGATTAAAATCAATTTTTAATGGCTGATTCTTTTTAGGAAATGATGAAATTTTGGGGGGTATCGGCTTTGTAGGCGCAAATTTTGTTGGATTCTATGTAATAGCTGGAAAATGCATCTTCTGGTCGGCTTGAAACTCTTCGTTTTGTTTTAATCCCCATTGTATTAATTAATATCTTATTAATCAAACTGGTGACTGTGGAAGAGTTGGACTATTGCTCTTCTGACCAGAAATAAGTCACAGTTTTCTTCTTTATTGGACTGTGTCCTCAACACCATCGTATAAAAATGTGCATTATGTAAACACGTACTTACGTACGTGTTTATATAATGTACTTACGTACGTGTTTAATTATTTCAACCTTTAATTAATTTAACGCTGGTGAGTCTTAGTCTAAAACCGTATAACGACCCCTACAGAGTGTCCCCATGAATATAATAAT